GGATATAGTAAACATGTAATAAGTATACATTTTCACTTACACGGTTTTTTGTTAATTTCAATAATTAGCTTGATTAAGAACATGTGTTTCTTGTAACGCCCGTGTGTTTCTAATAAAGCCTATTAACCGTGATATTGTAGACAATGAAACTAAGGAAACTAAAATTTTGTTACTATGACATGTGATGCAGTTATCCTATAACCAAATATTTAACTCGGCGTTAAAACCTCAGCCAATTCAATGGTATGGAAACCAAACATCAAAAAGTTAGTACATGTTAATCTTTTTTTTTGAATGAGTCAATACCGTTCATTTCTGATCCTGATTGAGTTTTAAAGTTCTTGTTACTTTAAGTCTATGGTCTTAAGAGTTTAAATTTATTGACACCGTAATCCTGACCGTGGAAGCCGTGGTAGAGCCATATTACGGCGTATTTAGGTCAATTCGTCCGGAGCGATATCACGGCATTACAGAAAACCGCTGTTATTTAATTTCATCGTTACTTTTCACCGAGTCAGTGAGGTAACGAGATCCATATTTTTTTCCTCATCATCATCATCAACAGCCTTTAATAGTCCACTATTGGACTTGACTAAGACTTTCTCGTACTATACCACGCCGGCCACACGGGTTTGTGTAGGGTTTGAGTCAAGTTTTCCTTCTCTTTTCAGTGCTGTTGTCTTGCGTAGTTTGCTCCTTTAGTCGGCCCTTACTCTCACACTCTGTATTCTTAATACGTGTCCCCACGGACTACTTGCCTGCCAATCAGATAGTAATAGCGGATTAAATAAAGAGCATACTTACTAGATTGTACTTATTTTGCACCTTTTAAAATACTAAATATGTATTTAAATTGTCTATCTGTCTGGCTGTCTAAGTATGTGTCTATGTAGTCCCGTCATCTATCGACCGTTATTCCAATTTTATTTTATTCAGTATGCAGTATGTTTTATTTTTCCATTCTACTCTATCATTCGTCATTTTACGTCCATCCACCTTTTCTTTGGTTTGCCTCTTCTCTTGTACCCTTCAACTCCCATACCTAACACTCTCCTCGCGACATTTTCCTCATCCCGCCGCATGCCATGTTTATACCAAGACAACCTATTACTTCATAACTTTTCATCCAGTGGCGCTAATTTCAGACTCCCTCGTTATTCCTGAACTTGTCAATCTGAGTAACGCATCCATCTTAGCATTCGCATTTTGGCTATAGTCAGGTGTCTCTCATCCGTTCTCCTAATGGGCCAGAATGTGTGTAAATTGTGTATATCGTGCAAAATTATTATTTATGGTTTAGATTCATTCGCTAATTGGACTCCATCTGTTATTTTAAAATATTCGTTTATTTGGTTTTAGCATCGAAATCAACAACAACGAAAATATAACTCGTAAAAGAAATTTTACTTTAGGAATATTTTAGGTTTTAAAAATTGTATTTGTAATAATATACATTCAGAGAGAGAATTACGCATTCTTAAGTAGATGATTGAAATAGATCAACAAAACTTAATTTTGTTTTTAATAATGTGAGAATAGTATTTGGCATTCATCCATAATATGTATGTATTTAATAATATGTGTGCTGTCTGGTTACTGTGATACAGGCCCTGCCTAGTTCGAGATCAATTAGGCAGATGTATGTGTATGTCGGGGCACCAGGGACTTCCTTTCTAGGGTATACCTGGTTCCCCGGCTATTAGTACCCGAGACGGCGTGCGGTTTTAGTCGGTTCGAGTCCGACATGCCACCGACAGGTGGTATCCGAGGGGATTTCCGCAAGGAGAAAAAAATAATAAAAAAGATGTATGTGTGTGTGTTTACAATTTAACACCCGAATATGGAATCTGTTTCTATAGAAGACGAAATCTGTGGTATAATGTATGAGAACAAAACGATCCAAAATTCTTTACGAGCAGGCCATTTAGTAAGGAGAAAATAAAAACATGGTAAAGGAGGTAAAGCGTGTTGATTCTCTCACTAGCTTGACTCACTATACAAATGTGGCAGGATTCCACATACATCAATGTAAAAAGCCGGCCTGGGCGTAAGAGTATATAATAAGGCCTATGTTCTGAAGTAGGTAATAAGTTGAAAAATAAATCAACCCTTTTTAAAGGAACACGTATGAGAAAAAGAGAGTTTGTGACAGAAAAAGAGAAGAGAAAAAGAGACAGGAGAAGACTAAAGGGACCTCAACAGAGAGTAAGTAAAGGTAATGTTTTGTGAACGAATAATTTAATATTGTAATTTACTAATGTTTGCCTTCACGGATGTCGTAGTGGTTTAAGCAGTCGCCACGCCACTTCTTACTGCTCCGAGTGTTGTGGGTTCAAACCCCACATGGGACGACACTTTGTGTGATCCATAAATTGTTGTTCTGATTCTGGGTGTTCTTTGTGTCCGTTTCATATGTATTTGTAAAGTCCCCGGCGACATAGGATATATTCCTAAATAATAAATTTTAAAAATGTCAAATTATTTGCTCTAAGCTTTTTAGTATGAGCGATTTATAATATTAAAACAGGTCTATAATTTAATGTGCATCCATATAAAATAAATATTTATGAACAAGCACTGTAATTATTCAAGAGTTCAAGAGGTCGTGGGTTCAAACCCTGACCAGTACACTATCGACGTGAACCCACTCCTAACACAAGCAATTTAGCTTAGCTGGAGGGGTTAAAGGGAATACTAGTAATTTCGGTTGCTAGTAGACCTTTATAAAAAAAAGAAAGAAAGAAAAAAAAACGAAATTTCTCTTTAAATTTAACATATGGAGTAAATCAAAACAAATCGCACTGCACAACTCCGTGTGTCTGTTCACTTGTATCTGAGCAAAAGTTTGAGCTTGTCTATATTTGAGTTTGTGTTTGTCTTCTTTGAATTGCGTGTGTTACATATTTATATTTGTAATAATGCAATTTTCCGATTGAAATGCGTAATTCTCCGTATATTTTATGTATAAAATTGGTAGTATTCAAATCTAGGATCTTAATATAAATTTCATGTTAATTTATTATTAGAACTTCTACACATACACCGTTTTATAATAAATAGGTTAATAGAACCTCAGCCACAACAAAAGGAACGATGTACAACATTTATAGGTTTATGTATGTATATGTTACACATACCTTACAATACTTAAACACACACATTAATTAATTGTATAATACATAAATATTCATATTTATAATTGTAATGTCGATATAAATGTCATAGACTTAACATATTGAATTAAATGCTTTATGTACAATAATAATTTAAAATATTTTAAAATGCATATACATATTTAGAATTTTAATGAATATATTCAATTTTATCTAGTTCACACATAGTTATGTATAAGAAAATGTTGTTCGGGTAATGTTAGCATGTCATTTAGAATTAAAATTTAGATGATCACTTTAGCTCACTATCCATTAATTAAAACGTTATCACAATAGTGATAGTAATTACTTAAGACATTAAAAGGAATAATAGATTCCGTAATATCTATTAAATTATTTTAGAAGAGTGAGTTAAAATGACACAACTATGCACACATACGAATCGTTGTACGAATATCAATAGGTACCTATCAACTGCAATGTGAACATCGCATTGATGCGTGTGGTTAAGAAAATTTATTTCTTTTATAAATAATGTGGATGTCTTAAAATATACGAACATTAAATGTCATTGAAATAAGAGACTCAGTATTGCTTAGTATTTATATAATTATAAAACTTACATTATTGAAACTAGGACATGACAAAATATATTTAATAGATCAAAAGAATTCGGAGGAGATATCTAAGCGTTCCGCTCAGTAAAATTCCTATAATTAAATTTAAAGATGTTTTTTTTTGACAAAAAAATAGATGTTTTCAAAATACCAAACACAAAGCAAGTTTCTTAAGCTGACAAAAATTTCAACAGTCTAGAGTATTTTTAACGCAAAATACAATTAAAAATAAATTGCTTACCAAATTCATCGACATTAATCCTAAGAGCTTAACTTTGTCCACAACATTGTTTAGAAATCTGACTAGAATACACATCCACCAATAGCCACGTAACACAAGATATACTTCGAAACGCTGAACTGCATTCACCAATTATGCTGCTTTCTAAAAACTTTTGAACGAATAAACAAAACTTTTTGAAATTAGAATACGGCATTGAAAACATGAGCTATTCCTGCCGCCATTTTGAAAACATTTTAAGAAGTTTTGACATTTGAAAAAGGAACCTGTATTTAGTTCTCATAATTTCTTTTTCTAATTATGTAGCATCCCACGACTAGACAGTTTCACCTCTACTACAGTTATTTATTATTATATTTTGTTGGAACTCATTTTTGTTTTAAAGATAAATTATCTTCTTCTTATAACAGGAGAAGATAACAATATTCTTTGTGTTATGCATTTCATGACTTTGCTATGTGTTTTTTTTTTTAATAACACTTTATTTTAATAAATAAATACCCCAATGAGTACCTTAATAAATGATATTAAAACTTATTAAGAAGTACGCAATTTTAAGATAACACATTACACAAAGAGCATCCGATTACACAAAATGATAATAAATCGTTTCTAAAACCAAATATATTCCGTAAATAACTACAAATAATTCTTCTATATGGACGGGACGATCAACTCACTAATCAAAACGAAATTTCACAACAAATCGTATATCCCAGAACAAAAGAAACATGTTTCCATACCTAACATGAGTTTTACATATTTTATTATGGGTCTGGTATTAATTTTACAGGAATATTTTTAATTCCATATTATCTGTGTTAATGCTGGTGAGACACCTGTTTTCTTATTCTCTCTTACTATATTTACTCTCTCCTACATAATTACCTGCTAACCTATACTTATCATCTTAATTTTTGACCAGCAAAAACACAAATAAAGTCGAAAAGAATCAGGTACCAAAATTGGGCAATCGACATCTTGGTACCAAGTAAAACGTTAAATTAAATTTACAAAGCTCATTACGGTTTAGTTGTAAACGCCTCTTGTCATTGCTTCTCTATTTCTGTTATGCCATTTGCAAGTCAAAATTCTAACGTACGTTCTTCTAAACGTAGCGTTGCAAAGAGCGTAACACATGGGATTAATAGTTGAATTAACGTAACAAAGCGCATAAAAAAATGACCACAATTCATCTGGGATACACTTAGTGCACGAAGTAAGTGGCTTCAGTAGTACCAGGATGTTATAAGGCGTCCATGTGATAATAAAAGATAGAAGAATAGCAGACAATGTTTTCGCAGCTTTCGTCTCTTGTTTCTTCTCTTGCGTTTTCTTCTTCTTTGCCGGTTTTGTCAACCCTTTCCCCACTAATTGCTTTGGAATTATCTTCGCGTTTAGAGGAATTCTCACGTCTTGTATGTGTGAAGTTCTTCTGGTCAACGCTTGATGTCCTGCTGGATGAAGATTCAGTTCTGAATCTCCCCTTGCTGGTCGGAAATGAGGTCTAACGGTATTAGAAGGCGGTGATTCTTCTGTGATCATTTTGATAGTTGGTCTTTCAGTGTCACCATCTGGCAGTCGAATAAGAATGGTGTATACTGAATCTGCTGAGGCGGATTTGGGTGCTGGAGAAGCAGTGGCATTGATTCTAGTATTAGGAGGTAAAGAACGACTGTCCCGAGCTGCTGGTATATTTGAGGTCAGATCGTAGTTACGACGGAGGGGAGAAGTTCCTCCATCACCGCCAGAGCCACTGGAACCTCCACGAGTTGCATATGGATCCCTGATGACATTCAGTGACGTGCATCTGTTAAAAATAGTCATATTAAAGCATAAATGTTACACCTTATATATAATGTAAAAAAAAATAGTTTTAAAAACTAAAAAACACGCTTTTTATAGAAAACCAAACTAAAAAATAGAATGATTTTTGTTTTTTTTAATAATTTTTTTTATATATTTTTTTAATTTTGTTATTGTCAGCGGTCCTCGATATATCTACAAAGTTTGAACGACTTCTGACAAAATCAAAGTCAGTCAAAATCACGCCGAAAGGAGTCGGTTACAAACAAACATACAAGTGTAGTTAATATAAAACGTGTAAAGACAGTGTGTTTAAAGTTTTTAAAGCTCAAGTCTTGTTGATTCTTGAGAACAGAAGTATGCTCTTGACCATGTGTTTGTTTTATGATATTATAAATGAACATTTTTATAGTACCAAATTGGTCTCGCAGATAGAATTAAACACCCCGTTACGTCACACCTGACATATACCCATGTTTCATGCAACTAACTATGCAAAACACTGTGTATTTATGCGTATGTGTATTTAACCGTGTACTTATAATAATTTTCTGAATGTGATAGATATGTTCTCGTGTCAAAAGAATTGTTTAAATTTAAAAATGTATAACGTTTTGAGTGGACAGTGTAAATGATTCACTGAAATTTGTGCTATGTTAAAGACTTGTTTGAGTGTGAACCTTGTAACTTTCATGTTCTCGTTCGCAAGCTGTATACTCAGTTTTTAGCTATCCAGAAAAACGTGTTATCAGCCATATTATATGTGTATGTTATTTGATTACAAAATAATAAAATCACCGTTGGTTTTCAATTAAAAAAAAAACTATAAACTACAACACTAGTATACTAAGTTAGTGGTATGAACCAAAGTACCACTTTATAACAATTTTAAATCAATTTTATTTGAGTTTTATATTCACCTATAATTTAATTTTTATTTTAACGTTTACTTAAAATTTTAAAGTTGATAAAAGCTCTCATGCTAAAGGTAACATATACTACTTCCCAGCATCTACCGTTGGGTGGCGGTCGATATGAATGGCCTTCTCCTAAATCCTCCTGGCCATATTTACTATTTACTATACTATTTACTTAAAAAAAATTTGTTACTCACCTAGAAACGGAACTTTGCAACGGCGTTTCTACAGATACAGGCGTTGCGTATCCTGGGTCTGATTGCTCCTCTTCAGGTTCGGTGTCCTCAATATCTTCACGGCCCGAATGCCACCACGCGACGCACCATCCTACTACTGCACTCCAACCGCGTTTTGGTGGCCGGGCGTTCAAACTCTTCGGAAAGAAAAAATATAATTTATACACTTTGAAAGAAACAGAGCATCGTGTTAGGATCACTGTGTTAAGGAACCTAGAGTCTACAGAAAATTACTTTTATATTGCTCCACTTGTAATTATTACATTCTAACCGAGCCCTTGCATTGGGTCTATTGCTTGTGACAAATCAACTAACCAAAAAGTGGTACGGTCGGTTCTAGTCAGCAGACTAATTCTTTGATAGTCTCAAAAAATGCTCGTAAAAGTCATCATGCTGACAGAAAAATGTTACAGATTCTGCTTATAATTAAATGAAAAAAATAACAAAGAAGAAAAGTTAAATTAATCTCGTCTAGTAGGTGTGTAGTGACCATGATTGCTAAACTTGACGTGGTGACTTCGAATTCCAACCACGCCAAACATTTGTGTAATAAGCACCTTCAATTGTTATGTGTCTAGGTGTTTTTTATCAGCGTTTAGCACAAGCTATTTCGCAGTGGAAATTTCATGTGGGATAACATGACTTTTAGATAATTTTCCATTTTTTATGTTTTACTTCACTTTCTTTTTTATTACATCTTTTTTCTATATCTTGTTTTCTCTTTGCCTTTTTACGTTTTAGTAATTAAAACTTACATACTGGCACACATCAAAACAATGTTGTGATAATTTAATGATGCCATTGTATTATCTGTGTATTAAAAAAGAGTGGTTTGTCTGCCCTTTCTTCTCATTAGGCTCAACCCCTTGGAAATGGGCGGTTGCAGATCTTCACAGGCATTCAAGAGATTTTCGATGCGTATATATTTAGTTTGCTAAATATTTGACAAAACAGAGATTGTTGCTATTGTGTGTATTGATCTATGACTTTATAGTCTACACAAGAGACGATTTCAAATAATTTTATTTTTTTATGAAAAAAAGGATAGTTTGAGTTTGATCTATGCTGATTAGTATGTATATATAAACTCCAGAACTGTACTTAAACAGCAGTCTAGTTACCTTATATTACACAATTTCAAAAATTAAACGAGATTAACAATTTTCGCTATTACTTGTAATAATATGCAGTTTAGGAAGTTGAACAAAGCCATTAAGGATTGTTATACAGTTTCTGGACAAAGTTTGTTAGATCAATACTGAAATTCTGTGAATATTAATCACCCTTTGTTTCAGTGTATTATTCTATATTTTATCACATTTAAAATTTAACTTTGAACACAATTTATTTTAATGACTTAACATGGCTACTAGGATTCTTTTATCCTTTTTTTACTCTACTATGAGGATTGATTCTCTGTAACGCCTTAACAAATTTAAACACAATTTTTTTCATGTTACTCTGTAATACAATACATTTAAACAAACATATCAAAATTTCAAACAGTAAACCGCTATTTCAACACCATAATTTACATCCTATTTTAGTTTAAATGTAAATAACAAATAGAAAAATCCTTTGACAAACAGAAACAAGATTATCATACTTAAAGAGTTTTATTCGTTTTATACAGAACCGATTTCAGCTTTGCGGCTTGGAGTTAAGGTAATTTTTGCATTTCTCCGCCATGTTCAGGTCCAAATTCGAAAGAACAAATATCATTTTTCTTTCGTTTCTGGTAAAACAGAGTTCGGCTACGAAAGTTAACAAGCGAATGTACAGATATACCCTTTATTTTGTTGAGTAAAACAAAGTAAAGAAAATATTTCTAAAACTCTTTTCCTTTTTAAGTCCTAAAAGGTATGCAAGTATTATTACTTAAGAGAATTTATTTCCACGGCATAAAAGGTTTTATTAAGAAAAATAAAGGGTTTGTTGTCCTTTCTTTTAGTTAGAAGTTCTTCAGGTACTGTTACGCAAAGTTCAACTAATAGCTAAGTTTGACACGGCGTTTCAAATCATCTATCACTCATGATAAGCATACAAGTGACAAGACAAGCGTGTTGGCTTCTTAAATCCCATAGTTGCGTGACAGATTGTCACTTCTGGAACAAAGAGGTGTCGTACTTAATTTCAAACTTTCACGTTCCATTAAATATGTGTGGCGTGGTGATATACATCAGAATAAGGACTCGTATGTTTACATTCAGAATGTAATCGCTGTTAGTGTAGTATGCGACGGTATATGGCAAGAAAAAATATCCAAAATGTGCAGGTAGGTGAAGAACCTTTAAACTTACGCATGAGACGAGCGCGTGCACTACTGAGCCAGTCGGCCTGTGACCAAGACCAGGGCAATTTGGTAGAAACGTCAAGCAATTTGAAGGTCTGTAGTACCTGATAGGTGACCGTGTCAATTCCCGTGTATGTATTAATATAAAGAGCTGTCGATTTACAACTTCCAATCATTAACTGCTTCATGACTTTTAGACTTTTAAGTGCGCAATGGGACTTGGTCAGCGCTTGGGCAGCGCTATGACATAGCATGTCTCCCTCGTCGACTAAAGAATTTTTCACATCAGAAGTAATCAGAAAGGGTACGTACGCGTACAGGGCACAAATTGAAATATTGGATAAAATAACAATATTTTAGGATATCTAAGACATAACGCCATCTAGTTTCAAACAAAGCAAAGCTTGTACTATGAAAGATAGATTGACTGATTGAGTACTTATATACTTTTTTTGTAAATACATATATACTACACATAGAAAACACCTAAATTCCGAAACAAATATTTGCAGATCATACAAATATTTGGTCCGACTCGGGAATCGAACCCAGCAACACAGCAGTCACATATGCTACTGATGCACCACCGAGGCAATCACACTTATCACTTCAAACTTTTGACATGAAGCAATTTATATTGAAACGTGGAGCGCCCGGAGCACGCACAAATTGCAAACGAGCACAGCCATACCTCAGCTTCGACAGCTCGCAACTGGAAGATCTTTAAGGTTCGAATTGAAACGCAGAATTTGAAAAATATTCAGAACATGCTTATCAACACCCTTTCATAGTTGACTGCTGGACGTAGACCTCTCCTGAGAAAGGTCTTGACCTACCACACACGCTGACCATTCCTATACTAAAACATGTTTAAACATCGTAAAATTCTTGAGAACTTCTAAAAAGTGAATAAAATATTAACTATTTTAAAAAAGAGTGTTGCAAATCCTAGTCCAGCGGCCATTCTTCTTTTGTAAATAGCGATTGCCAAATCCCAAAATATCTTTTTAAAAGTTAACAAATGTTTATTTATATTAAAAGAAAGAAGTCGACACAGATTTTTATGCCCGACCGACAAATAGTCGTTCAAAAACCACTGAGTGCTCAGTCATACGCGCGTAATACGGTAGGTGTGAGTGGCGGCAAAGAATATGCTCAAGGATACTCAAGCTGAGCTGACGCTTATGGTGTCGGCGCTTATGGTATCTACTTTTGTACTCGATATTCTGCTATTATTGAAATTTTGACAGGATAACATCGGTTGCGCCAGATAGTGCCTAAAAAGAATCATGTTGTCAAAAGGTTAATAGAATATTTTTTTTCGCTAAAATATGTTTCAATATACTTCTTTAAACAGAACTTTTCAGTTCCTAAGATAAGGAAAAACTAGCTGAATTTCTTCAAATTGAAGTAAATACATTATATTTTTTGTGTCTGTAATATATCCTAACTAATGTTCTTAATTCGATTGTGAATTTGTTTCTTACAAAAATCATCATGAAAATTTGGTTCCAATACATGTTGCCACGGAAACTGAAAACAACGAAGGCAGCCATTGCTCTGAACACAATAAAGAGTATTGTTCCCGAGAGATATTTAAATTGATTTCTCATCATCGTCATCAGTCTGTCATCGTACTCCTCTAAACGTAGACCTGTCCTCATGAAAGCCATCCATCGTTGGCTTTCCTTATTTTTATTTATAGATATCGTCGTTCCACGTGGTTACAGGGTGTCCTATACCATGTTTATCTAGACGCAGTGTCTTATGCTATGAAAGTACCACTAGCCCATTAAAACTTCAGCTGTGTGCTGCCCCGGGGTGGGACCACCTTAAGGTTTGTAAATAACCTCTTTACCAGGTGCTTCTCTATAGTCACGGAAAGTGATTTAAAAGTGGTCGTAAATTGGTATAGACTAAAATAAATATCAAATTGACTGTAATAGGTTTGTATATTCATCTACGAAGTAGCTAAATTCGTGAAGGGCAATAAAGAGCCCTTTGAAGTCAAGGACAATACCAACAAACGTAAAAATACTCACTCGTATTTTAAATTACCAGTACCTCGCCTAGAATTTTTTAGGGTGAGCTGTGTTTATATGGCACCACTTATCGCGTTGCTGGAGCATATTGCAACTCTTCCTTATCACAGATTTTGTACTACATTAAAAAATTGGCTAATAGCAGAGTGCTTTTACTCCGTCAATGTTTTTTTTTTAAAGTACTCTAATCGGTCATGTCACTTCAGAAATGCATTAGTGTAGTAATTATTTTTAATATGATTTTTGACATTTCAATTGCAATGTAATGTAATTTTATAGCATATTAGTCATCAATTTAATGTTTTTAAGTATTTTTATTTATTTCATAATTTTACCGGTACAATTTTTTAAATTTGTTGGTAATGGAGGACAAATGGAAGAGTTTGAGTAAGAGTAGGAAGAACCGACCTTCTCCAAGAATCAGGTGGCGAATGTTAGAGAAAGAAGAGTATGCAAGTAACTTTAAGGTAAAGGTGGTAGAAAAAATTATTGAAATGAATGCAAGGCTAGATAAGTCTGTGGATAGATGGTGGAGTGATATGGCAAATTATATACGAAAGATAGCGAGAGAAGTACTTGGGGAAACAATAGAAAAAGGCATTATTGAAAGAGAGACATGGTGGTGGAGTGATGAGGTACAGAAAGCTCTAAAAGAAAAGAAGGATGCCTTTAAAGCGTGGAAAAATGAAAAGGTCTGTGAGAGAATGAAGGAAGTCAAAATGAATGAATATAAAGAGTGGAAGAAAAAGGCAAAAAAAGCGGTAGCGGTAGCCAGAGCTGAAGCTCAATATAACATATTTAA